ACAATCCCCCCCCCCCCCCCCCCCCCTCGGGTTGCCACCTTTGTTTTGGTAAAATATGGGACAGGTGGCAACCCTACCCCCTACTTACTGGAATTGTGAAGTACTCCCTGCAGCGTCCTGTACATTTTAGAGTTGCGTTCCTCCACCCGTACAGCTACCTCCTCCATTCACAGATCCAATCACAGGGGTCTGTAGTCTTCCATTCACAGGGATCTGTGAATGGAAAGCTACAGGTCCCATCTGCCACCCCAGCAAAGGAACTCTTAGACCTCAATGGAGCACAGGTGAAGTGACGTCAGTGCACTTGTAGTACATTGTTTACCTTCTTCAACCAAATATCAGAAGGCCTATACCTCCGTATGGATCCGATATGTAAACATTGCAAGAGCCTGTGTATTTCACTGGGATCCACCGACCAATGTTGCATTGCTCTGCAGGCTTCAATGCAAGAATTTAATTCATGAACAGTTATTACTAGTATGTATATAGCTCCCACAATTTACGCAGCGCTGTACATAGTTGCACATTCCCATCAGTGACATTTTTTATTAATATAGGGGCATTTATAAAAAAAAAAAATTCCAGCTCTGACTCCAGAGGACAGAATCATCCCTGTTGTGTGACTGTGAATGTCATTTATTTACGTATTGGGGTTTTCTGATTATGCAGATTTCACTTTCAGCACCAAGGACAACAGCCTTATCCCCAAATCGGAAGTCAGCCATCTTACTACTCCTATGAAGCCACCGGAAGCGGGTGTCTATAGACACAGCCAACATGTACACTTCCCCGTTTCGTGTTGTGGCTTCCTTACACCGCGGTCATGTCAGTATTTTTCCTTCTCTCTACACAAGCTCTGCCAGTATTCCTCCACCACCATGACACCGCCACCCCGGACAGGTAGACCTGAAGCAGGAACTCAAGGCTCCGCCCCGGGTGCCAAGGTTTGACATACGGCCGTCCGTGCGTGCTGACGTCACGGAGGTTATAAGAGGGCGTGTCAGTTCGGTTCCAGGAGACAGTCGCTGTCACAGCTGCATAAAAAGATGGCGGTTAGAGTAATGCGCGGAGCAGACACCGGGCTCAGGGGCGGCCCCGGTAACGCCGCGGTGCCAGCTGCACGGGAGCACGTCCAGGCCGTCAGCCGAAACTACTGGCAGCTGCGCACCAAATGGGGCACTGGAAGTGGGGTGCACTGGGGCGCTGTTGGAAACAATGTATCGCACTGTAACTTTTCAGAGCTTTATTTAAATGTTACAAATTGACATTTCATTCAGCTCTTTCGGCCTTGGGGTGGTACAATGCGTTGCACCTTGATTGCGCTGACAAAAAGTACTTCCTGCTGTGCGTTGCCCATACGAGGCCCCATAGAAATGCAAATCTTGTGTAAACGCTCTTCAAATCGGTTAGGTGTACATGAGGGCTCGTTGACGGCACCAAGCCGCCCTGCGACGCAAGGAAGCCGTCGTGCGCTGAGGGATACAAAGACTGCTAATGCACCAATTGAGGCTCTTTGCAATGTTTACCTGAAATCTCACAGGTGAGGTTTCATTCAGTTCAAACCGCCACTGCGCGGTGTGATGCGGTTTTGCTGCCTCGCACCACGCTGAGCTGAAAAATAAAGTACTGGTGCTGTATTTTTTTTCAGCAGCGCAGTGGTGGGAGCCGAGCTGATTGTAACCAAGACAATCTGCGCCAGAAAAGGCTCCCCAACATCCTAAGCATTAGAACAGCAATCCCCAGCTTAAGGGCCCATTCACACCACATCCAGGCCATCTCCAGACCAGATTGTTCCCAGACCCAAAATGCATCCCTATGTTATTTCTGGCCTCTGTTCACACCAGCGCAGTCCGTTCCAGACCAGAAAAATACTGTGTGGTCTAGAGTGCACTGGATCTGCGGGCAGGTTCAGACCACTTTCTGGACCAGATCTCGTCTGGAAAATGGTGTGAACCTGCCCTTACTCTTGACGTACGATGTATACATCAGCCCCATAATGCTGTATACGTCTGATGCAACTGCCCCCCCTCTGGCTTCAGAGTGTGCCATGAACACTAGTTCTTGGCGCACTCTGGTGCCGTTCGTGGGCCCCTCGGGTGCCGGGGGGGGGGGCACTTGTGTCAGATCTACACCGTTACGGGGCTGATGTATAAATTGTACGTCTGAAGTAAAGCTTGGGAGCGCTGTACTAGCGGCTTTACATCGAGGAGCGTATGCCATTTCCTAGCTAGTGGCGGTAATGCCGTCCGAACAGCATTCACCTAGCTGTACCCGGGGCAGAAGGTTTATATATGAGCCCATTTATGTCTGCGGGCACACACAATACAATCTGATTGTACCATCTCCTGTAGAGCAGGGGCCTCCCTGATTGGATGGATTGGATAGGTCCTCATATACAGTGGCTTAGAGGTTAGCACTTCTGCCTTGTAGCACTTGGGGTCCCCAGTTCAAATCCTAGTCAGGACATTATCTGCATGGAGTTTGCATTGCTCCGATGTGCTGTCCCAGATTGTGATTTTATTAGATGTCGGCAATATTGATCGCCGTTAATGTCATCTTGTAAAGGTTTGTCCTGCTTTATATTCCTGTTTGCTGCGGTCTGCGCTGCCTCGAGCTCCGTCTATTGCAGATTGTTTGCAGTCATTAGAAGTAGCAGCTCTCTGTTGTCGGTTCACACACTGAGCTGTTTACACGACAAGCTGCCCTTCCCAGCGTTTGCTGGAGTACCGCGGATTCACTTCACCGGATCAGCGGGGTCTTTAGGAACGTAATTGGGAATGTATGAAGAATGGGAAATGAGAAGGTTCATTGAAAGATCTCATGTCATGTGATAAAGGCATCACATGTCGTCCCATCATGTGACCAGCAGACTCATCCCCCCCCCCTTCCTTTTTTCATTCCTCTCCTCCTCCCCAGATGTCTCCGTTCCTCTACAGAGCGTATTGTGAAATCCTGCCTGTGCTCTGATGTGACATGTGAGCTGGAGAATGATGTTTATTTGAAGGATTAGATTTTAGAATATATGTCTAGAGCAGCGTTTCTCAATCGTTTTTTTAGCCATGGCACTCTTTAAAAGTATGCAGAATCTTGAAGCAGCTCAGTCTAAAATGTGATAGGTTTTAAAGGGGCAACCCCAGGCAAAGACACACAAAAAAGGCTTCACCTTTACATTGAAGTCCCCCACTTAAATCAGGTACCCCTTTTACGTCAGAGTTCCCCATTCTCAACAGAAGCCTCAGTCCTCCCTTCACATCAAAAGCTTACCATCGCATCAGGAGCGGCAGCTGTGGCAGTATGGTAGGGGGCCAGAGGGTGGTCTGGGAAATTACTAGGGCGCCCCCCGAGGAAGGCGGAGGGCGCCCCCTGAGGAAGGCGCGCCCCCTGAGGAAGGCGCGCCCCATGAGGAAGGCGGAGGGCTACGGCACCCGGAGTTGAGAAAGGCTGATATAGAATTTTGCAGTTATTTTGAAGTCACAATGGTGTAAGTCAGATGCTGCATCTATAGATACGTTTTAAAATGTTATGTAAGAATAAAACCTTTTGGAACTTTTTTTGTAGCATTGATCAAATTGACGGCACCAGCCATTTAAAGCAGGGGTGGGCCAATCCTGTCCTCCAGCTGTTGTGGAACTACAAGTCCCATGAGTCATTGCAAGACTGACAGTTACAGGCATGACTCCCAGAGACAGAGGCATGTTGGGATTTGTAGTTAAAGCACAGCTGGCGTTTCGGAGTTGCCCGCCCTTACTCTAACCCATCTGTAAGGTTTTTTTGACTTTACAAGCTATATTCGCCTTAGTTTGCCATCCAGGTCCTTTGCCAGTGCAGTTTCTGGGTGCGGGGGACCACTAATTCGGTGTTGTAAATGGTCCCTCGCTGATCACCCCTAATCCTTTGCTGCAGATGCTGCTCTGGACACACCCCTTGTGATGACATCACTCCTTCTGGATCCTGAGAGGACCCCATCTCTGGACAGCCAATAGAAAGTGTCCACGTCACTGCCTTGGCTGTGCAGTGGGCGGTGTTCTCTCAGGATTCAGAAAAGTGGCATCACAAGGTGGCTGTCGGGGACCAGCTGGGTCACAGCAGCATCTGCAGCAATGGATTAGGGGTGGTTTGCGAGGGATCATCTGCAACACTGGATTAATGGTCCCCTCCAACCAGAAACGGCACTGGCATCTACAAATAGAAGAGAAAGCCCTGTGGTGGTGCATCGCGGGACCAGTTACTCTCTCAATGTCTTTTACCACGTATTACTTTCAGTTGTCCTCCAACAGCAATAGTCCCTCCACCCCCAGTGCCCAGGTCATGGAGTATAGCAGTCATGTGACCAGTCATAAATCATTGATAAATTGTATTTTAAACCATCTGTTTGATCATTGTTGCTTTGTAAAAGGAAGCTGCTTTAAGGGTGGCAGCCACTTGGTTTACCTGCTCCTGTCCAGGATAACCACCCCTCCCACCCTCCTCTGACCAATCCTCAGTATTCTTTTCCTTCCTTTCTAAAACAATTTATACTCACCTAGGTCCACCATTCGGGCCCCTCGCCAGCACCTTTTACAGGTGCAGAGACCGCTAAACCATTGCTGCAGATGCTGCTGACCTGGCCAGTACCCTACAGTCCCCTGGATCCTGAGAGATGGATAGTCAGTGGGAAGTGTGTATGTCACTCAGGTAGTGGCTGGGGCCCCTGAAGGACCCTAATGTAAACAAAGGGAGAGAGGACTCGGGACTCGAGCATCATGTGTATACAGATACCTTACCCCACTCCTTACCGGATGCCCCAATACTCGGGGAAGGGTGCTTGTGGTGACCGCGAATGGTGCAGCCCATTGCAGTAATCATATGAAGGATGTCACTAGCACACCAAAAATTCTTAAAGGATCGCCAAGCGTTCATTTATTCAGAGTCATGTCAAGAAACTGGGACCTTGTGCGGCCCCGAAAGCGCTTGCTTTTCTTGACATGATTCTGAATAAATGAACGCTTGGTGATCCTTTAAAGGATTTTTGGTGTGCTGGTGACATCCTTCATGAGATTCGAGCATCATGTGACCACGGCTTTAGGTAAGTGAAAAGGCATTTAGGTGTTTTTTTATTTAAGCCAGCGATGAGATGGGGGGGGTTAATTTCTTGAAGATCCTATTTAGGCCTCATTCACCGGCCGGCAGGTACAGCTCCATGATGCGTGCACTGCTGTATCAGGCAGCTCCAGGGAAGGACAGGTGCTGCGTGTGATTAGTACACAGCCCCTATCCTTCTTTATGGGAGTACGCGGCCGTACGTCACCCTATGCTCACCCCAAGTGCAGGTCCGTACGGGTGCAGGTCGGTGCGGGTGTCCCAGCTCGGACGCAGACAGGATCCATCCTATCAGCGTACGAGTAGAGGAAAACCGCACCTGTACGGACCTGCACTTGGGGTGAGCATAGGGTGACGTACGGCCGCGTACTCCCATAAAGGACGGGCTGTGTATTAATCGCAAGCAGCCCGTCCATCCCAGGAGCTGCCCGATACGGCCATGCACGCAGCACGGAGCTGTACATGCCGGCCAATTCCAGTGTGAATGAGGCCTTAGGCAACCATTCGGCTTGACCTTTTTCAGCCCAATGTTTCTGCAGACACGCAAACCAGATGAAAGTAGCTGCAAGTAGTATGTATTTACTTTTGAATTCTTTGGAATGTTTACATTCTGCTTCATCTAGCTACATTGTTTTGTTTGGGGTCCCCTCTGCCCTCATCTGTATTATGTTGTGTGAACATTGAATAGTGTCACCTACAAGATGGGAATCGGTCACCTTTGTTTGCTGAAAACTGCTTTCAAGCTGAACTCCGGGAGAATAGTATTTTACAGATACTGCTCCAGCCAAGTAGAAGTATACTGTGTAATGACAGCGGCAGCTTAGTATCAAAATCATACCCTGCTTCCAGCCGGATCCTATACACAGTGCTGGACTTCGAGGTTCTACGGAGATGAGAGCAGCAACTATGGCAGTGGAGGGCTCCAGTTGTATACCGGCCCCATCTCTCTCCTCGCCCCTTTCACAAAAAGTCTTGTATTTCGTCACAGAATAAGAGGCGTTCTGTGATTGAGGAGGTGAGATCATGTCACGTACTCTCTCCTCCTCCATTCACAAGACTGGTGCTGGATATACCAGTAGGCAAATATGTGCCCCAGGTGTTCATATGAAAGGCTGAATACTACTTCTGGGTTATTGTAAAGGAACCTCTTCCACTTATGTGAGTAATGATTCTCTAGGACTAGTATAGCTTAAATCGCTGACTTGGCGGTTATTTATCAGCCTTAAAGTGACACTAAACTCAGGAGTTAAATCTTAAAAATGCATTCATGTACCTTTAAAAGAGAACTATAGGCTAACCTTTTTATCCCATTGTTCTCTTAAAGGAGAACTATGAGGTGTGTGCTTTTCACTCGCCTCATAGTTCTAGCCGACCTGTGACAATGAGACTCACAGGTCGGCTCAGTAGATCGGGAGGTGAGCGAACACATACCGAGTTCGCTCGCCTCTCGATCCTGTCACGGCTCTCTGCAGGGAGATGATCGACAAGTGAGCGAGCGACAGTATGCGTTCGCTCATTTCCCGTTCTATAGAGCTGACTTTTGACAGTTTAATTGTCACACGTTGGTTCTCACTATGAGGATGAGTGAAAATCACTCACCTCATAGTTCTCTAACTATTAACATTTTTAATTTTATAATTGATTATATTTGTATAGCGCCAACAGTTTGTACAGCTCTTTACAACATACGGGGAGACATTCCAATACAATGCTTATGATACATAAAGTAATAACTGTGAGGGATAATAAAAACATTGAAGGATCTTGCCATTCACCCTCCACTTGCTGTCCCCTTCCTCATTCACAAAACTTGTATATTCCCAGGATGAACGCTGTTCTGTGAATTTAGGTGGGAAGATGAATGTCGGGTCACCCCTTGTCCAGTCACATATTGCCTTGCATTCAGGAGAAGGGGACTAGAAGAAGGGAAGAACGTTGTGATCGTGCAGCTGTTAGTCCCCACATAGCCAGAAGATCACTGCTGTGGGGAGTATCCGGCATCAATGGAAAGGGAATGCTTACAGTAATTGACAGCCAGCAGGGTATGGGATCCCCTTAGGCAGAGTTCACAGGCTTCAGGTTGTATAAGAACAGTGTGAACACGGATTTTCTGGTGACTTTTACAAAGCATTTGTTGAGCTTTCTGCAAGCTACAAGCCGCACTCTTGAAGCCTTTGAAGCATCCTTCAACTCCAGTTTGGGAATTTTAAAAATAGATCTTCATGGGAGTGCTGACCATTAAACAAGCTGCTAGCCGGCTTTAAGAAGCAGTGCTGACGCTTACTGAAGCCTGCTAGCAGCTTGTTTAAGGTGACAGTTGGCACTCCCATTAGGGTCTGTGTTTAGCATTCCCAAACTGGAGTTGAAGGGTGCTTTAAAGCAGAACTCCGGGCAGATCAAATCTGCTCGCTTTGCCTAGGGAGCTAAAGTAACAAAGATATATATTCGCCTGAATAGCAATCCAGGCTTGCTCTTAGACCAGTCCCTTCACCCTCACTCCCCCCTCCACTCCAGTGGTCTATGGTTCTGTCGGTAATCATGCCCAAGACAGTCTATTGGACATGAGGATGCCAACGGGCATACCACTGCCGGAGGGAGCAGTGTAAGAGCAAGCTGGGATCGTAGTTTGGGCGAGTATAACTTTATTTTAGCTCCCTAGACAAAATGAGCACTTAACCTTTCCAGTGTGGGGGTAGCCACGCTGCAAGGGTTGAGATGTGATTTGCCCGGAGTTTTGCTTTAAATGCTTCAACAGAGCTTACCAAAGGCTCTGCAAGTGCTCTGTTCACACTGCTCCTGTACAAGTTGAAGCCTGTGTGAACTAGGCCTTAAAGGTAACTTGTATGACTTTTCTTTATTTTTTGCCCAAACAGTCATTACATTTCTGAACAGCTCCATCTCTCTCAGCTCGGCTTTCCTGAACCTCTGTTCAGTACAAGATCACAAGGGACAGAGCAGTCTCCAACAACTGTCCATCTACTATCTTGGAGGAGAGAAATCGGGGGCATGGAAATGGGCTTGCCTTGCTGTGCTTGTGGAGACACACACAGCTTACTAGCACACAGATAGGACCCTGCAAGGGAAAGGAACCCCCCATAAAACAGGATATCAGAACCAGTACTCGGATTCAGCTGATTCTGCAGGAAACTAAAACTTTAAAAAATCAAGGAGCAGCGTCCATTGTAAGTGATTTCAACAGCATTTGAAATGGCTAGAAAACCTTTTGACTTTAATATGACTTTAAGGACCTTGTGTGCATGCTCCAGGTTCTTTCTCAGTTGTGGCAGCAGACATATTGTACATGTGCAGTGTGGACACAGTGATTTATAGTTTACCTGCTGCATGCTAGTAACTTATTCTTATTGCTACTTTTGAGTAGTGGAATAAGCAATACATCGGGCTCATTCAGGGGCAGATTGTCTGCTTCATGAAAATGGTTAGCTGTGTCATTGTCCCGTGACCGGCTACTTCCTGGAAAATTGAGGATTTCTCGTTCTGGGTGACACAACTCTTAGAGAAGAGGAAATGAAATCTCTGCTCAGGTCTTTGTAGTCTGTACTCAGAGGGGGTGTAAAAAAAAAAAAAATGATCGTTGGAAAGGAGAACAATGGCCTCCTCTTTCCTGCATCCTGAGAGTGATGCATTCAGAAGCCGATGAACGGATTCCAGTCCACAGCGGTGTCTTTAGTTCCAGACTACCTGGGCGACTTCCTGTTGCATAATTGTTATAATAAAGGATTTATATAGCGCCAACAGTTTGCACAGCGCTTTACAATATAAGGAGGACCCTGCCCCTGAGGGCTTACAATCTAAAAGACATGAGTTCGGTGTATATATAATAAAATGGTTGAGAAGAATATGGGGAACCAAATGTGGTGACCAGTTAGGCTAGGTTCACACTACGGCAATCCGTGACCACGCGATAATTGTGCGCGGATGGCTGTGCGGTCATGAAAACGCACACAATCGCTGATCACGCTGGCAGTGCCATTATTTTCTAATGGCACCCTAGTCACGCCAGGCAGATTGCGCGGTTTTCCGCCGCAATACGCCCGTGCAGACGTGCACAATCGTGGATCAAAAAGCGTGAGGTGCGTGCCACAAAAAGAGGTACCTGTACCTTTTTTCAACAATTGTTGCGCAGATAGAACCAAATTGAAATCAATGGGGCTGCGTGGCAATCGCTGTGTGCAATTGTGTGTGGATCTCTGGAGGCGCATACTGGGATCACCGATATCTGAACCTAGCCTTAGATTTCTGGTTTCATTTTCCCACTGAATACTTAAAATCTGATTCCTTATCTGCTTTTATGCCCTACTTGTTTCCTGTTTATAAACAGGACACAAAGGGGTTGATGTATAAATATTCCACCCACCGTATAGCTGGGCAGATGTCGTTTGCACAGCACTACCACCACTAGATGGAGCCGAGGAGCATTATGATTTCCTGTGCTGCTTGGCGTCATCTAGTGGCGGCAATAACTATGTGAACGGCATTCACCCAGTTGTGCAGAAGATTTATGAATGGGCTCCTCTGGGTCTGATGAACTATGATTGGCGGTTATAGAGGAATGCAAAGTCTTGCACGGCACATCCGATTACGGCGCATTGCAATTCAGAAAAGTTATCATGTCAGTTTATTAGGAGCAGAAACCATGACTCTGACGGTTTTGCACCAACATCTGCTCAGCGGAATACTGCACACCGTCACTGCGCCAAATATTGACCAAGTGATTTTCTGAAAAATTATTCGGCACAGATCTAACTTTGTATGAGACGTGTAGATCACCAGCACACCATAGTAGTAAAGCAATAGTCCATTTACTGACACATTTCCATTCAGCATCGAATGGCAATGTGTCAGTAAATTGACTATTGCTTTACTACTATGGTGTGCTGGTGACATTTCTTCATTTATGGTATACACTGTGCCGTCCGTGGTCACTACAAGCACCCACCCGTATGAGTTTCTTCCGGTAAGGAGTGCAGCAAGACCTCTGGTTCTGTGTAGATCACCAGCACACAAGATGAGATTAATCCAAGTGTTCTGTTCAAAGAAGCATGTCATCAGTGTTCAGGAGCCAACGTTTCAGAACCACGCAGGGTCACTGTTTGCCCTGATGACGGCTCTGCATGGTTCCAAAACATTGGCTCCTGAACACTGGTGACATGCTTCTTTGAATAAAAGAACACTTGGATTTATCTCATCTCGTGTGCTGGTGATCTATATTGTTCAATCTTTGGATTCGCACGGCGCCATCTGTGGACATCACTACGAGCACCATCATTATCAACGGTCTCCATTGCTGTATGGTGTGCAGGAGATGCCTCCATTTACTTTTTGAGACGTGGCACACTTGGGATTTTTAACATTTGGTGCTGACCAAGCGGAGCTCAGCCTGCTGTGACAGCACTGCAAGCTGTCTCCGCTCACACACCGCTCTGCCGATGTGTGACAGAAGGCTGAGCGACGCCGGCCGCTCACAGCACTCTTCTCCTGCAGCGCTCGGCCGCCCGTGACAGTTTCTCTCCTCCCCACTGGGACACAGAGCAGCGGGGAGGAGAGAAAGAATGGATGCACCGCTGTATCGGCCAGAAAATATGCCAAAAGTGCCATTTTCGGCCGATGTGTTTCGGCGGCCGATATATCGGTACATCCCTAATTTGGTCCTTTCATAAAATCAGAGTTCCATGTGCCAAATATTTGGCACACCTTCAGTAGTTTATCTTGCCCATTGTCTTACCAGCCTTCTTAACACCTCATATATCCTGATATGTAAATGGATGTCTTGTTTACATCAGATTACACCTGATCCAAAAAAATCATATCCGGCTGTTTTTCCGGACCTGGTGTAGAATGTGCTCGATGTATCATAGATGTCAATTATTTTAGCTTCCAACACCTGGCCAAACCAGGTGTTAATGGATGCCCATGCTTTTAGACCTCGCTGCCAATAGACTTACGTTGGGCATCCGATCAGGTCCGCCTGCCTGTTTTTCAGGACCGGACTTCCCATGTGAAAGGGGCCCTAAGCTTTATTGCAAATGGCAGAGCCATGCTGAAGCCAAGCAGAGGAATTCTCTATTAGTCTTTGTAAAGTGACAGATATGTGAGAAAAAGCAGCCGCGTATTGCTACAGGCAGACAGTCCTGGTCGCACCGAAGAGTTTCTCATTCCTCATATACATGTCATCTCACAACACAAGCAAAGCAAAAGAGATGGCGGACCCCATAGTACTCTTCTACAGAGATCTGCTGACACTAGAACTAAATACTGTAAAATAGAATCAGTCATTCAGATGCTTAGAATATTATTGGAAGTGGCACAGGGTAGAGTCCGCACCTACCAGTGGACCACTTTGGGGCCCGGTAATGGTCCTGAGGCATACTTGAGTCTTTCTTCTCCCTGCCGGCAAATGTCATGATCTGAGTGTTTTAATTGCCAACTTCACCCTAAACGAGCCACAATTCAGTGTAACATGCACGCCACCAGAATTCCTTCCTCTGCCCAAATACTCTGATCGTTAAAAAGCTCAATGTCTATATTGTCCCAATGGATCGTTTACTCAACTGACCAAGTAGTAATGCAAGGATAGGGATGTCAGGCTCAGACTTTGCATGTTCAGAAACTAGTCAGCAATGGCAGGTGCCATGTATCTTCCGTGACAGGTTCCCTTTAGTTGTCCTCCCGTTACCCTAAGAAGAACTATGGGGAAAAGACTTAATCCCATACTTCCCATACTTCTCCTTTAACAATAAGACATCGGTGTGCTCTGCTCACATTTTACAACAGAAGGAAAGTTTATTGATTTGCTTTGTCTTCAGTCCACATTAATACTATTGTGAGTGGAAGTCATTCTTAACGTAGCTTAGCTTACTCCTCTTTCTTCTATGTTCATTTGAACATATAGCGATGCTAAACTCAGAAGTTAAGCCTTAAAAATACATTCAACTACCTCAACTGGTAACAAAAAAACAAAAATGTATCTTATTTGTGTATCGCTCAGCTGTAGATCCTCAAATCATCTCTGTATTGGTGCTGACACTGTCCTTCCTTCTGGAGGGAGG